AAATTGGGTGTGCCAAGGGTCACTGTCATGCATGAACCTAGAACACCGACTCCAGAGTTCAGATACGTCTCTATCAAATGACCGCATCCTGGCATCCTGGACCAGCGTCTCTGTAAGGTTCTAGCTTCTGGCTATTCTAGTGCTTGCGCGTTATCAAAACACAGACGTGGCCTTCACTAAACCTCTGACAGCTCCTCATCTTGTTGAGGTGCAGGCTCTGGAGTTCCAGAAAATTCACCTAGGATGCTGTCATTTGAAGACTCCAGCCCTTTCATCATCCTTGTGAGAGCCTAGGGCGCCTCTCTCTGGCCTCTGTATCCATCTTCTGCTGGGCCCACACGGAGAGAGTGTTCTCTGCGGGCTCTCTTCTTTGCCCTTGTGGGTGGATAAAATTGTCCAACTCCTCCGCTGTGACTAAGGAAAGCAATCATCAGACTATCCCTGTAAGATTCTTCCACACAGCTGTATGTTTGGGAAATACAGAAAGGGGGTGTGGGGAGGAAATGCTGGAAAGAAAACCGGCGACTAGGCTGAGGGAGCTCTCCGTTACTCTGGAGTTGTGCGGGCGGTTTCTGGTCGGGCGGGGAGAGGGCAGGCCCGGAAAGCTCGGCCTGCGTGTGTGGGGCGGGGCATGCAAATTTGAAATGGCGGCTTTGCACGGGAGCCATGGGAGGAAAATAGAAAAGAGAAAATTACCAAAATAAGTAACAATCTGGGCAATTACACATGTATAGCCAGTATGCCCATAATACAGTGTGAAAGAAGTGGGAGAGTGGGTCTTTACTTGAATATAACTTTTGTCACCGCGAGTGCAATATGAGCGATTCAAGATAGACACCGACCAGGGGCCTTCCTTCCTTATCGCTTCTTGGCCTTTTGGTTAAAATCAAGTGTAGTATCTGTTCTTATCAGTTCAGTATTTGATACGCTCTCTGAGGATAACACGTTAAATGGGTTTTGGGGACTTGGAGACGGAGTAGGAGCTTGCTCTATCCACTCCACTCCACGCATCGGTCTGGTATTGCAGTACTTCCAGGAACGGTGCATCCCCTTTGGGGGTATTTTACTCGGTTTTCCAAAAGCAGATTACATTCCCCCACAGGGAGGGCAAAGAGGGTTTGGCGGTTGTTGTGTTATGTTCAGAACGTCTGTAACGTTAGCACAATGGAGAGAGACCTTAATTGGTTGGTTTTCAGCAACTGATTTTCTTTACCAGGCGGTTGGGATAAACTGGCTGCAAAGTAAACTGGCCAGACCCGCAGAAGAGTAAGAAATACTATTGAAAACTAGTCGAGTATTGGCACAGGTAGGAAGTTCAAGGGAGATTAACACCGCCCCCCCAAAAAATCTAAGACATTATAATCATATCACATTTTCTTTCTTTTAACACTATTTTATCAGTTCACTCTTTTTTTTTCTTCTTTTAAAAGAATTATTTTATTTAAGTTTATCTATTTATTTATATTTTTATTTGACCAGAGAGGGACAGAGTGAGAGACAGTGAAAGTGAGAAACCAAGCCACCAGGTCCTAGACTCAAACCACAGTTGGTGGTGTGGGAGTCCAGCACCCTTAACCACCACGCCACCTGCTGGCCCCAAGTTTGCTCATGTTTATTTATAAAAGATCAAGATGAATAAACGGAAGCACCTCCCCATAAGGGTTATAGCAGATGTCTCAGCAGAAACCCTGAAAACCAGGAGGGACTGCTGATACACAAAGTGCTGAAAGAATAAACTGCCAGCCAAGAATATTACCTCCAGCAGAGCCGGTCTCTCAAGAATGAAGGCGCTACAGAGACATCTCCAAAGAAAATATCTAGGGTAACCAAGAAGAAATAAGAGAAGATCCAAATGAAAAAAATAACATGATTGAAAGAGGAAACATTGTGACTGATACTGATAAAGTGCCACTGAGAAGGAAAAAAAAAAAAAAAAAGTATTGGGTCATCAGAAAAGT